TAGGAGACTTGAACTCAAGGCCTAAATATAAACAACCCCATATTCATTTCCACTAAGCCTCAACTCATTCTTTATAAAACCATTCCAAAATTAATCAAATGCATGTAAATTATCTAACCAAAATTTTTTTATTTATTAATTTTTCCCTTATTCATTATAGTTTTGTTTTGATAATGAACTTATAAAAACATAGATCTTTGTATAGTGTTTGTACTGGTATCTTTTGTGCCCTTAGAGAAATAACATTTCCTTTTAATTTGAGAAGGGAGGATTCATGGTTTGAAAGTGTGGAGCAAAAACTTTGGCCAAGTAACCTCTTACAATTAGAGAGTGGGCTTAATCCAATTACAATTAGCAATCCTGAACTTTAATTTAATACATTTTGAATCCTAAATAATTAAACTTGAGGCAATCTCACCCCACTAATAATTCTAAATTAACATCCATCACTATGCATTGTAGACCCTCATTTTCATTTCCTACTTTTACCTTCTCTACCTCATGTCTCTCGCTCTCTCTGCACCTTCTCCTCCCTCCTCCTCTCTCTCTCTCTGCACCTTCTCCTCCCTCCTTCTCAAGGAGAGAGATCGAGAAGGAGGGAGGAGAGGGCAAAGACAGAGACATAGGGACTAGAAAAGTAAAACAAACAAAATGATGGCCCTACTATGCCTAATGTAAAAGTCTTGATAAATAAAATAAATATTTGTATATAATAATTTGTTTTTAAGGAATATTTTGTACTAATATTTTTAGAATAATTATAACAAGAAAGAGTGTTGGTATATTGAAAGTTGCCCACATGACCTATTTATTTGGTTCAAAGTTTGAACCTGAATGAGGCAAAAAAGGATGAATCTTATTTTTGCTTTGGTTTTCCAAAATTATGACATTGCCCCCTTCAAAGCTGATAAACTTTTCCTTTTCTTTTTCGATTGTTCCAAATTGGTCCAGAGAGAGACAGCTCTAATTTTTTTTCTTTCCTTCTTCCGTGCTCCTCTGATATCTACCTCTTTTCCTTCTACTTTCAACCATCGCCAGTGGGTCATACTGCCGCTGCTCCATCCGTTCCCCATTCACAGGTGCTGGAGCTCATTGATTGCTACTGTGTATCAGCTAAGATCTCTATATTCCTCCCTTTTTAAGCTCACACACCGTGAACTACCCTGTGAGGTGTTGGCCGTGGGTTCGTTTCTTTGTGTGCTGTTTGTTTGAGTTGAGTTAAGTTGCTGAAGCTGAACGATTTTGCTCTTGAATTCTTTCCTCTCGTGTTCAGTTGTTGCTAATTTCTTCTCTGCCCCTAACTTCACTTCACCAAACAGAGGTAGGAGATTTGGGTCTCTTCTCGATTCTGTTGGGCTTGTGAGTGTGATCTGCTGTTGCTGTGCATGAGGGTGTCATTTGTTGTGTGCGCGCGTGAAATTAGATAATGTTAGTGCATGCTCCGTTGTTGCCATGCTGTTATAAGGAAGGGACAACTCAAATATTAAGCTGGAAATTTATCTTAAAAGCTTGATAATGATATATATATTTATGGTGAGTTAATAATTTATTTGAAATGGTTGATGTTGAAGCAATTGTTAGAATAAAATTGGAAGAGAGGAGCTTAGAGTGGGATACTTGGAGATTAGTGTTTATAAGATATTTGTTAAAATGCTTGTTATATATAAGAATTGAATTTGATTTTTTGAAAATCATTGATCCTTGTCAATGATATATCAAATTGAGTACTATTGTTCTACGAAGTTAAGCTGAGGATTTCAAAAGAAATTTGAGTATAAAATTAGTATCAAACTATTTAAATTTTTGGGAAATAGATGGTTGTGGATGAAGTTTGTGATAAAGGATTGGAATACTAAAAGCTTTTATAAGTGGGTTGAAAATGATGCATGGTTGGGCTTTGGCAAAAAGATTAAGAGAGATGGTAGTTTAATGAAGTATTGAGCTACAGTGTTTGAAGAATTTCTATATAGAAAGTCTTGCTCGTAAATTTTAAATTTATTATAATTAAACTTTGATAGTGGTGTTGGAAGAAAATTATTGAACTTAGTGAAAGTTTGTTTAAAAAAATTCAATTTAATTTATAAGGTATTTGGAGGGGGAAGAAATTTAATTGATACGGAAAGGTGAGTCCTTGAATTTGGGAATTTCATGTACGTGGATAGCGTCTCAACTAATATTTCCAATAAAATTTACTTTATTAAAATATTACATTTTTATGCAAATCTTTTTACAATAACAATGTGATTATTAGATATTTTATTTATTAAAATTACTTTATTTTGTGAAATTATTTTACCATATTTGATCATTTCAGTTAATCAGTCAATACAAGTTTCAATTCTAATTTTGAGACTTCATTTTGAAAATTATTGAATTGCTATGAAGAAAAAAAAATTGATTCATGAGTTTGTGATATTAAAAATAAAAATTTTATTCTAATGGTGATATTTTCTCACATGTTGAAATTGAATTTGAAAAAGATTTTATCTAGAACAACTGGTTGGCTAACAGTAGTTTCATTAACCCTTGGCGCCTTGGCTAATGACTAGCTAGTTTGAATTTCATGAGCTCTATTCTCACTTTTGTTGTTCATAGGTCTAAAACTTGCTTTTGATTTCGTGGCTTCGAGCTATATTTGGTGTATTACTCCTCGTGTACTTTTTGTCCATGTTTGTTTCATAATTTAGGCTACGTTTGGTTACTATACCCTTATAAACTATGGTGTCCACATTTGTCTTCTGGCAAAGCCACATTTGGTTATTTACCCTCAAGACTATATATCCATGTTTGTTCTTTGTTCTAACAAGTCTCTATAATTATGAGTTTTTAATTATTTGATGAATTTACTTTGATTGATTTTATGCTTAGTGACATATTTATAATTATTTGATGTAGTTATTTGCTTATTGAAATTAAATAATAATGACATTTGATATAATCTTTAATGAATCAAGATTTTATTTAAAGTTCCATAGAGAACTTTTCATCTGCTGAAATTTATTGATTTTTTTTTTTTGCAAAATTGTCATATCAGCACACATAATTATTTTAAACTTTCATTTCCTACATATTTAACGTATTGTTATTGGGATACTATTCACTAGAAATTTATTTTGGTCCTAGATTCATTAGCTAACACTGATCCTACTACTTACTGACCTCTGAAGGGCATACAACCGATCTGGGTAGAATTTTTGCCTAGCATTATGTTCTTTGATGTAAATATTTGAACTGATGTATCTTTATTTTTTGAAAATAAGGTTAGATGCTCCACGTAACTTATAACTAAGTTTATATTTTTGATATATGTTGTCTACTAAAGGAGCTAAACTCCTAATTGATACTATATTATTTGTTTTGTAAAATATTGTATTATAAAATTTTTGAGAGATCCTATTTACAAGGAAAATTTTTGCTGCTGAAATTTCTACAAAATTTGAAGCGTTTTATTACCATAATTTTTATTAAGTTGTTTTATATTTCATTACAAATTTAATATGTTTTAAAATGAAAAGAGGTTTCAATTTAAGACTTAAGGGATGCATGATATGGTTCACATTCCCATGTCAGTCACACTCTATTTATAGCGCGTGACACCTAAATGTATCGATGTTATTATGGAATTAATGGTGAAATGAGGTTATTCTAAATTTAATTTTTTATGGTTAAAAATGGTCAAATATTAGTTCATGATTCAAACCACTTCTGGGCCTTTAGTTTATAGTTCCAAATTGTCATTTAATCCTATTTTTAAACTTTTTGGCAGCATTTTTAATAAAAAATTGCCATATTTACATATTAGGTTCTAATATTTATATTCCTTTTCATTCTCTAATAATATGGGACCAGACTAATAAATTTATTTTTTATTTCTTATTAGTTTGGTGTTTAATTCCATTCCTTTAAATCTAAAAAATTCAATGCACATTCTTTAAAATTAATCTAAAAAATTCAATGCAGATGTCTTTAAAAATTTTTATTCGTACAGAACCTACTTCCAAATTAATTGGTAGAAAATCTGCTAACATTAATTTTGGTGGGAATAATCTGGCAACTTCCTATTTCAGATTCGTGTGAATAATGCAAGGGGGAAAAAATCTATAGAAAAATGGCATATTTTGGATGGAAGGAGTGAATACACAATTATAATCCAAATCAATGTAAATGTCTATTATTTTTTGTCGAACCATTAAAGTTTGTATCGGTCCTTCTTCGTGCTTTTAGAGAAATAATAATAACATTAATCTTCAGTAGGGAAATAAAAAATTTCTCATTTTTCAAATTATTTTTGTACTTTTTGCCATCAAACATAAATTTAATTTATTAATTTTCAATATAAACTATTTTTTTAAAACCGTATCAAGTACTTTTTTAAAACGCAATCAAAAGGCACTTTCATTTAGACTTGAACGTGGATGAAACACACGTTTGAAGGAATTCACACAACGATGGGAGGACACTTCAAGATGATTTGCAGAGCGTTAGAGAATTTGCCGACAAGTTCGAAGATGCTAGCAATTCTTGGATAGAACGTCTAGAGACTGCATTAGGGGATTTCATAAGGAATCCAGATCCCAGATTGACAAAGATGGAGACCGTGTTAGATGCTCTGCTCATTAGCAAATCAGATGTTTGGGTTGATAAATTGGAATTAAGAGTTGATTCTTTACTCCGCATGATTGAGAAAATGTATCGAGAGAGTGAATCGACTAAGGTGTTTCAACCCGGGGTTATGACAGTGGCGGCACGGTTCAACCAGAACTCGCAATGTTAGGTAAAAATTGACAATCCTGAGATTTGATAGTAACTGACACACATGGGTGGATTTTTCATGCTAAGCAATATTTCGCATTCTATCCTACGACGCTATCTCAACGTATCATCATGGCTTTCCGTACACATTGATGGGGTAGCTGTTCTATGGCTACAGATGATGCTCAAAACCAATCTCATAATCACTTAGGGGAGTTTAACTAGAGCCATTGAAGAGCATTTTGGCCCTACTCAATTTGAACCGCCCCAGGTCCAGTTGTTGAAGCAGACTTAGGAAGCATCTGTAGATGTTTATCATCACAATTCATGACTCTGGCCAATCGTACTGAGGGCATATCTGATGATGCTTGCTTGACTATTATATGTGGGTGGGTTAAAACTGAGTTACGTTGGGATGTGATAGCAAGGTCCCCTGAGACCCTTCCGACGGAGGTGAGTTTAAACAAGCTATTCCCATGATAAAACTGAGCAAAAGCCGTAGGGAAGCAAGGAAAGATGAGCAATAGTATGCAAGGAGTATCACCATGGTCAACTAAGGGAAGTAAAAGCAACAAACCCAATTTGATTCCTACTCTAAGCACCAGTGCGTCGAGTAGTCTACCAAGCCATTATCTATACCTGTGCTTCCTACTCCTCCTACTAAACCATTACCAACTAGTCACATATATAATTAACATCATATGTATGTCTTGAAAAAATTGAGATCGAATAGATGAATTTGAAATCTAGTTCTCAATAAATGCCTAATATAATGGGAAATTCTGCATGCGATTTGAGATTGGATAGGTAGTTCCTGGCCTAGGTTTGATGACAAGAGCGCCATGAACTGTGGCTCGAGAATGGTGACTGTGAGCATGCCACCAAAGAGTGCCTTCCTCTTTAGAGAAAATATGACCCTCTGATTAAACTTATGACCTGGTTTTATGGGACATTGAGTGTATAAATCGGGACCGTCTGAGCATGGATATCTTGGGTGGGTCACTCCATGCCTGTGAGATATTGATAAATTAAATTTTAAAATTAACTTTTAAACAATTACTTGAAGCTTAGCTTTACGTTAATTGATAGAGAATAAAAAAATGTGGGGATTCGTTGTGGTTTATTTTTGATCAACGTACCAGTGGATGGTGATGCTCTCGTTCGCTCGGTTTATAGACATCAATTATTGTTTCGCCTTTGGTCACGTACAAGGTTGGTCCTGGAAATTGTCCATTTACTGTCAATATGATCTTGGATCTACAAAGTTTTGTGTACGATGCTTCTTTGACCTGCATTGAATGAAACACAGGGTCATGACATGCAAGTTAACATGTAGATATTATATGTCTATATGATCTCATTATGTTTTGAGAGTTAGAAGTATTTCAAAATATATAGTTAAACTGAATTATTATCATAATGAAACATACCTCAAAAGTATAATGCCTCAGTGCATGAGAAGGAGGAGGTTGCTGAGGAACAAAACTCCTAATTTTGTAAGATGAATATTACTGAGATTTTCATGAAAACTCTTGCAAAGTTGGTCTCCACAGATCATAATTTTTCTGATGCTGTTTGTTGCTTCAAGAAATTGCTCTCGTCCTGCTGATCAATGCTTGTGTTGGGAGATTGAAGAGAAAAACTTGATATATATTTGTTTCTTGAAGAAAGGCTTGATATAAGTGGATATATTGTTCTGCGAATGATTGAGATGTTTGAGATGGTGGCCATACATGCAGGTATATATAGTTTTGCGAGAGGCCTTGACATGAACATGATTACGCGTAAGACTACTTTTCAATTTGTGCGGCTTCTATTTTGTCCAAGTCTTTGAATTATATTATGTGTTGCCAGGTCGTTATCGAAATATTCTTTTTGACAACAACGTTAGTCGGTCATCAGAAACTAGCTGCTGTATCAAATAGTTTGTTGGTTCAGGTTAGCTTATTGTGGAAATTGCAATATACTTATGGATTACGAGACACAGTTGAAGAAGCATACGTAGTGTGGATGTTTCTTAATGGATAAGAACGAGTTCATGGTTTGGCTTTAATATAAAGCTGGTCAACCCCTTGAATGTTTTCTTCATTTATGGGCTGATGATGGGAAGCCTGCTGCTAAATTCATTCATTTCTTGGTGAGCACTCACCTTTTTTCTTTGGCATCAGCTGCATAACAGAAAAAAGTTTGCAATTAAGAATATCTATACTTACATAATAAATGTTGAAAATCCAAAACCCACTAATATATAAAGTCAAAGGCTAAATAAATAAATATACTAAAGCCAATTTGAAATTGCGATACGGTCAACTATTTTTTTAATTAAAAACCGACTACTTATTTCTTTGATATTTCAAAGACAGCAACAGCCAATATTCTTTTCAATCATTGAACTTATCTGAGAAATTTGAACTTCCAATTATCATAGAATTATTATAGATTAGTGAGATAAATTTAATAATATCAAAGCGAAGGTCCAATGTTCCATGCACGTATATAATTGTTCGTCGTTCGCTTTTGTCAAGTGAATTATATTATATTGTTTTGTGTGTGTTGATTACCAGAGATATACGTCACTTGTACCTGATATTTTTCGCCTTATTCTTGTAGTTTCATCAGTACGACAAACCTTAAAATAATCTTTCAATATAATCCATGCAAAATATAAAATTTATTATAAGTAAGAATCAAGCTATCCATCAAACCAACCTTGAATGTATATAACACGCATATACAAAGTTACACTTGAAGACAAACATCATATTTCAATGAAGCCTACATATAAATAGAATAATTAATATTACTATTTTAACGCAATGGTTAGGTTCAAAATATAAATTATATTTCAGAAAATTTTTTTAATGACTTACGTTGCCAATAATAAGATCAATATTTTAATAATATTTTAGTTGTAGGCAAGGACATTTCAAAATGAAAATGAGAGCGGCGTGTGTGTAGCTTCGAGGTTTTGAGATCATCATAGTTACGCGTAAAAAAACAATGGTATTCAATTTTTGTGTTGCTTTTGTGTTTTGATGTTTTACGGCTCTAATTTGCCATGAACTAGCAACTTGATCATTAAAGCTGTTTTTTATTGATTATTCTTTCTAATCCAGAAGCTGAATAACCTATTTATATATGACAACACGCTTATGTGTGTAGTTAATATAGATTATTGAAAGTAATTTTTTTTTTACGTAAGTGTTTTAATTTATCTCTTTCCTTTAAGTTTCATACCATTTGGTATCTAAGTAGGTCCTGGAGATAAGAATGCCTGAAAATTAGCCGAAGTTTGATGATTTCAATATATATTTATTAACCTTCAGAATTTCATATCATCTCTAACACATTTTATTCAGATGTTAACATACTTGGCACCATTTGTAGTTATTTTGATTATCTCAATTAGAAAAATGTGCATCTTACTTTGGGTTTGTATGCTTAGTTTTATTTAATATTTTTGGGCTTAATTTATGCTATTTAAATTTAAGTTAAGTTGCAATTTGTAGTCCTTTGATGATGCTTTTGGAAGGTATTAAGATGTAGAATTGAAGTGAAAAGATGAATAGTCATGCCAAGTGCATGGAGAAGTGTAGAAAAATAGAGCAAAGTTGTAACCAAGGTTACGTCTTTATTTGCCACCTCCGATGCTGACAGCAAAACAATGCATTTTAATAACTATGAAAATTACGGTTGCTTATGTATTTGCTGTTGATTCAACTTGGAAGGCAATCTCCAACTTGAAGACACTTTTGGGAGATTAGGTGCTAAGGTTTTGGCCTTGGAAGAACTTAGATCAAGGGAATCAAGATCTGAAGACAGTTGGAGTTTCATTCTCTTGATTTTTCTATCCTTTCTCTGTTTACTCTTTTGAAACCTGATATGGAATCAAAAATTTGTATATTTATAACTTGTAGATGATTATGAGTAGTTAAATACTTTACTTTAGGATTATTTTAAACCCTTACATGGATTAACATTAGCTTTCTCCTCTTTTTTTGTGATTAATGATATATAAATATTTATTTTACTCTTCCCCTAATATTCTAAGTGATTGGCTATCATTTAGATGTTGTGTTCATTTAGGGGATATTTGAGCTGAAAAGCCTAAGTGTAAACTATGAGAAAATAGTACAAGAATTTAAAATTTGCATGATGATGATGAATGGTTTTCTTAGTGCAAGAACCAGCTCAGCAGGACGAAAACATCAGACTGGGAAGTTTCACTACTGTTTCGGCCTCTACTCTCCTCCATGTTATATAAGAAGAATGAAAAATGAATCATGGACTCAAAACACTTCAAATTTACTCACCAAAGCTTCCGTTCTTTTTTCCCCCTCCTAGTGGGGAAGCCCAACGATTTTAGAAGGGTATGCTAGCCATACTAGAGTTTCTTCCTCCCTTGTTCAGCTGTAGTTTCGTTTACTTTCCCCTGCTTGTGCGTTATTGGTCCATTTAAAGTGAGCATCCTTAATCTCCTCTCCTTCTCCTTGATAAATATGTGCATGTGATGTGTGATGTAATATGATTGAAGTTGCAATTTTTCTCTTGAGTTTCTGCTGTCCTGTCCGTGGCTGGGAAAAAAAAAAAGAAGAAGAAAGAAAGAAGAAAAATTGAATTAAGCTGAAATTTATGTATTGAAAGCATGATGATGATAAATATGGATCAGAATTTAACTTAAATTAATTTTGTTTAGAATTGGTTAAGATGAGCTTTGGTGAGAAAGAACTTAAAATTTTAGTTTAGAAATTTATGCACATAATGTGTTCGGTAAAATGTTTGTTAAGAAAAATCTTGATTTTGGTTGTAATAATCGTGTGTGATATTGTATTGTGGTTAATTAAATAGCCATTGAAGGCACTTATTTGATATAAACACATTTTTCCTTTCCCACGTACTTACTTTGGATTGAATATTTTAGGTGATAAATTATATATATATATATTATATATATGTATGTATGTATGTATGTCTATAAGAAAATGACAATGGTTTTGCATGGCTACTAAGGATTTAAGGACCCAATATGGTTGCCAAAGTCAATTAGGAGTAAGTTATATCTATTTGGGAGCATGTCAGGTAAGTGGATAACGTCTCAATCAATTTATATATTAAAAAATTTTCTTTATCAAAATATTTTTTTAACAATTTATAAATATTATATATTTCTCTTACATTAGCTCCTTTTGTTAATTAAATTATTTTACTTCTTAGAGTCATGACTTATATTTGGATTGATGGAAATATTTTTACAAATTTTAGTGGTCTATTAATTGATATAGCCAACTATGAAAATTAGTGAACAATTTATAAAATATTAATTATGAATTTTCATATTTAGAAAGATTGATGTTTTACATGGTTCATGTGAATTTGATACTGAGAAAAGAAATTATATTTGCAAGTGATGATTTTCCCACATGTTTGAAAATAGATTTGAAAGGTTTTTATACCAAACACTGATTGCTAACAGTAGTTTCATTAACTCTTGGCACGCCATGATACACCTAGCTAGCAGGGTGCTTATAGGAGATGCTAGCCCCATATGATAGCCAACGCACATGGAACGAAGGGATGGTTATTCGTGAGCACCGTATTCACATTGGTTTTGTGACTTTGGCTGCATTTGGTTACTTACCCTCGCGCACTGTATGTCCACGTTTGTTTTGTGGCTTCAGCTGCGTTGATTACTTACTCTTGTGGACTATGTGTCTACGTTTATCTTCGTGGCAAGAGCCGCGTTTGATTATTTAATCTCGTGGACTGTATATCCATGTTTGTTAATGGTTTGATAAGTCCTTATAATCATAAATTAGATTATTTGGTGATTTTACATCTCATTGATTTTTTTTATTTAGTAATTTATATATAATTATTTATTTTCTTTTTTTGTTTTCTTAAAATCACGTGATAACAATATTTGATCTAATACTTAATGGTTCAAAATTCTATTTAATGTTAGATAGAGCCATTTTATTTCAAAGTTTATTAAATTTGTATGAAAATTGTTATCTCTGACTTACACAAGTGTTTCAAACTTTTTTTTTTTTTATGTTCAATTGTTTATTGTTGGGACATAATTCATTGAAAAAATATTTTTGGTCTCTGATGGAAAGGCTCAACTTGTATTTCAACATGTTCATTGTAACGTTTTATCATTCAAATAGAATGAAAGAATTACTTTGACAAGACCCATTTGATATAATTTGAGCCTTATATTAAATCAATGGTCTGACCATAGACGCTTCACATTGATTATAGGCAAAATCCTTATTTTTATTATAAAATTGAATAATTGTTGGTAAGAAATGCAATTTCTTTGTTTGTATTATTGTTGTTCTTTGTTGGTGACAAATTTTGGGAAGTCTCAATTTTCGGATACATCTTGCTAAAAATTTTTTTATAGGAAATTTTGAATTTTGGTTGCATGAAAAATATAAAACAATTAATTAATTAATGATAATAAAATAAAATATCTAAAAATTCTATTTATATATTATATGTGTTTATGGTTTACAAATTTGAAATTTCTTTAGTTGAGGCTTATGAGATATCAGTTTTGCATATATATCCCATGCCGGTTACACCTTATATTTTGGGGCGTGACAAGAAAATCCACAAAAGAAAATAAAAAAAAATCATAAGCCAAAACAAAGCATGGATTTAACGCCACCTTTCTTCATCATGATTCTCATTCAAAGTCCAATAGTTTCATGCCAAGAAACACTGATCCATCAATAGCTACTTCAATTGTTTCAGAACAATTAAAGCTGAACGATTTACACATACAGAGTAATATTAAGAATGGTGAGAACAAACTCTTTCAAATCATTAAAGCCAAACACGAATCAGTAGCTGGATATCATGTTTTAGATCAAGCATGCCTAAAATTGGGATTTCAGACCTTCCTCTTTTTTGTTATACATGCATACATATTATATAAATATGTATGTATGTTTGCATGTACAGGAAAGTACCATTCTAGGTCCTTGTACTTAAACCATGTTTTTTTTTTTCAATCCATCTATTTAAATTTTCAGTCCATATAATTTAATTAATTTCATGGTTTCTGGTTCCTTTTATTAATTTGCTCCATCTGAGATATTAGTTGCTATATTTGAAAAATATTCAAAAGGATCATGATATGTTGGGGTGGATATGCAAACCA